GGTGCTGGGGGTTTGGGCTTGGGGTAAATTTGGCCCAGAACTGAATTTGCTCTTATTCCCCTTCCTTTTCATTTTCATTTCATTTTTTTTCCTTCTAATTTCTTTTTAAATTGAGATTAAAAATTAAACATAAAACCTAAATTAATTCCTAATCAAATTAACTAACTCTAAATAATAACTACCACAACTAATTAAATACCAAATTAACGAAAACCTCCAAAATTCGAGACTAAAATTAAAAATGCAAAAATAAGTTATTTTTGTGATTTTTTCATTTTTATAAAATAATTAATTTGCTAATTAATCCTAAAATATAGAATTATATCCTAAATGCAAATGCAATATATTTTTGTATTTTCCGTTAATTAAATAAAATAAAATGCCACAAAAATCCACAAAATTGCAAACACTGAAAGAAATTATTTTGTTTTGAATTTCTGGGAGTAATTCATATAGGGCAAAAATCACGTGCTCACATCATGTACGTAAACGATTGTATGACCTTGTCGGCCTATGTTCAGTATATGAGTGGTTATTTTGGTCTTACAGACCCGTATGTCTTATGTATAAGTTGGTATCACATGTTATATTCTACTTATCTCACGGTAGCCTTCCGGCTCAGTTATCTATGATAGTATGAAATGAAAAGATACGTTATGTTGGTACTCGGTTGAGTAAGGTACTGGGTGCCTGTCGCGGCCCATCAGTTTGGGTCGTGACAGATAAACAGCTTAATGCATTGGAAACTAGACTCATAAATCTTCAATTTGGTGGGTAGATCACCCCATAATTTCAAGTAAATTGGGAGAAAAGCTTAGTAACATTCGACCTAAAGTTTAAGTAACATTATGAACATAAGTTGCGACAACTTTTGTCGACTTTTGTTCATAACTTGTTTGACTTCAAGACTTATGGTACGGATATTATATAATTCAAATAACTTAAAACACGACCTTTTGATAATATTAAGCACCTCTAGTTTTATTCGAAAATACGGGTTACAACATCTTTGATTCGTTTATCTTCTAATACTTGTTAACCACTCTTATACACCCTTATATCATTTAAGACCTATATGATTAACTTCTTATCATCTCAAAGATCATCTCTTCTGAGATTTACGTTGACTAACTTACGGCGTGAACTAACGTACGTGAATATGGGTTGTAACAATATAAAAGAAGAGATCTATTTATATCAGAGAGAATATTCCAGAGAGAAATAACAACAATAAAATCCAGTGAAATCCCACGAGTGGGGTTTGGAGAAGGTAGTGTGTACGCAGACTTCCCCTACCGTATGAGGGTAGAGAGGTTATTTTCGATAAACCCTCGGCTCAGGAATAGAAAAAGGGAACAATAAACAAACAATAACAACAACAATGTATTAGGACAAAGAAAGCAAATAGCCAAGTAAAAACAAAGGTCTAGGAACAGGGAAATACAAGAATAGTGCCAATACTACCGGTAAGAATGACACACCGTGCATCAACACGACCTAGGAATAGTAAGCTAAGACTAGTACTAATACTACAGGAGATACTAGGAGAAACTCTCTACTATTGTCAACCCACAATTCTAATACTCGACCTACACATCTTCCTATTGAGGGTCATGTTTTCGGTAAGCTGAAATAACGTCATGTCTTGCCTAATCATTTCTCTCCAATACTTCTTGGGCCTCCATTTATCTCTCCTCTGACCCGTCATGATCAATCTCTCACACCTTCTAACTGGCGCATTGGTGTCTCTCCTGCTCACATGCCCAAACAATCTTAACCATGATTCCCGCATCATGTCTTCCACAGGAGCCACACCCACATTGTCTCTAATAATTTTGTTTTTGATCTTATCACTTCTGCTATACCCATACATCCATCCCAACATCCTTATTTCTGCTACTTTCATCTTCTAGACATGAGACTTCTTAGCTGGCCAACACTATGCTTCATACAACATAGTCAATCTAACTATCCCCCTGTAGAACTTGCCCTTAAGTCTTGGTGGTACATTCTTATCACACAAAACACTAGATACGAGTATCCATTTCATCCACCCTACTCCATTAAGATGTGTAACATCCTCTTCAATCTCCCCAATACCTTGTATTACAGACCCGAGATATTTAAAATTCTCTCTTAGGGATGGCTTGTGTATCAAGCTTCACTTTCACTTCAGCTTCATGCGTCCCAATACTGAACTTGCACACCAAATATTCTATTTTCGTCCTACTCAACTTGAAACCTATAGACTCTAGGAGCTGTCTCCACACCTCTAGCCTAGCGTTAACCCCGCAACGCGCCTTGTCAATCAGTACTATTTCATCTGCAAATAACATACATCATGTCATCTCTCTTTGGATGTGTTCAGCACATCCATTGCTAGAGCGAATAGAAATGGGATAAGAGCTGATCTCTGGTGCAACCCCATCACCACTGAGAAATAATTCGTGTCTCCTCCCACAGTCCTTACCCTAGTTTTAGCCCCGTTATACATATCCTTGATCACCATAATGTACGCTACCGGAGCTCCGCTAGCCTCCAAACATCTCCATAGAATCTCCCTTGGGACTTTGTCATAAGTTTTTTTTAGGTCAATGACCACCCTATGTAAACCCTTCTTCCGCTCCCTATATTGTTCTATCAATCTTCTCACAAGATGAATAACTTCAGTAGTCGGCCGCCCTGACATGAATCCGATTAAGGATAATTTAAAAAATACAATCTTAATGTATTTGTCTTAAATAAATTAATTTTCTGCTTCTGCTTCTTGGATAATTTAAAAAATACAATCTTAATGTATTTATATATATTGATTTTGCCGGACCTATTTTTTAAAACGACTATACTATGTAGTTTTTCTTTCAGAATTTGCGGCCAAGCAAGCACCATACGGCAAATCTGGCTTCAAAGTTCAAAGTAGCTACAAGGTCATGAGATTCAAACTCTGTGCACTGTAAATTGTAAACCTCTTGGTTAAGTTGTTCCTTTAGGGTGCAAATGACTATTTTTAGTTTAAATTTGTCTCTAGGGTCATAGGCTCCTAACCTTTATGGAAGATATATTATATACCGGGAATGTTAGTTTTTAAACTATGAAATGATTTTAAAGTTAATTATAAATAATTCTTCACTCTATGTGGATTAGCAACTCAAATAACAATGAAAAAGCTATAATAATAATTACCTAAACTTCATAAACAGTATAAAGTTGGAGTCCCCTTCACTTATTAGTGCTTCAACCTGAAACTAATCAAGGAGGCTGCGGTACGAAAAATTAACATAACGTCGATACAAAGTATATACAATTCGCACGTGCCATGGAGTTGATGAACCTTTACTTAACGGAATCGGTTTTGATCTCTACTGCAGCCTAGTCTTTCAATTTGACCTTTGACTATATTTCAAAATTCAATAAGCTAAGGCTGATTAATTAACTTATGAAACCTTCTCACGTTACTCCACTCATCAAAAGCCAACAAGTGTCCTCTTAATTTTGGTCCCCCCAATGACCTACCAACATTAATAGCTTTTGGAGGGACACGAAGCAACACCAATATTGAGAATCCAAAGGCTTAACATGAAATAAGCGTGCACAAGTTATTTTGCGTTTACACAAGGTTTGGGGGAGTCGCACCTCAAGAGCTGTAATGTAAACGGTCTATTCTACTGCAACAATTAGTTACTGCTTTCACGGCTTGATCTCGTGACTTATAGGTCACACGAAGATAACTTTACCGTAACCAAAGGCTTAACCTGAAGTGTCAACATAACCCAACAATAAAAATATAGTAGTAATATGAAATGATGAACTCAAAAAGTTAGAGGAGTATTTATACTGGTTTTCTTTAAAACTCAATAATTTGCATGGTCATGGCAAATTAAGGCTAGCTATACTAGAATTTTCTTGATCCCGAAGCTCATGATGTCTCTTTCGGATTTGTCACAATGTCTTTAAACATGTCGATGGCATTCTTACCTAACTTAATGACATATCAAATTCCAAGTACTGTCATCATCAAGTGACAAAGCATTTTATACATCTAATTATCGCCAAACCTTTGACTTCTTCTTCTTATTCTCTTTTTCCATGCATTATATTTTCTCGCCGCCCACTAGCTAGTACGTGTTTACATATATATATATACACACACACACGCATAGAAAGAGAAGAAATATATAATTTTGAATCTCAAAAGTCAATCGATTCTGATATATCTTCGAACTTTGTGTTTTCCTGCTTAAGCGACTCTAGAATAATCCAGAGAACTGCATTTCTTTCTTTGTTCAATATAATGGAGGGGCTTTGTGTGAAGCTTTTTGAAGCTTCAAGGTTTGATCTACTTTCCTTTTTTTGCTATATTGTCATCAGTTTATGATGTAAAGTTAGTGAACGTTAATTAACTATTGTGGTTGATTTTTTAATTGGATGCAGAAAAAAGTATAAAATGAAGAGACGAAAAGCAGCAATGGGAATGGTAGACAGTTTTGAGGCGAGTCATGAAGGGATAAAAACTGTTGATATTCAGAAACGTTGTGAGTTTTCTGGAAGTTCTGATCTTTGCATCTACTTTGTCACTTGGAATATGAATGGAAAGGTAAATTTAGCACTTAATTAGCGGTCACAGTTTGTTGGTAAAGTTGCTGTCATGTGACTAGGAGGTTACGAGTTCAAGCCGTAAAAATATCCTCTTGTAGAAATGCAAGATAAGGCTGTATACAATAGACCCTTGTGGTCCAACCCTTCATCGGACCTCGCACATAGCAGGAGCTTAGTGCAATGAACTATCTTTTTTTAATTTCTTCTTCTATTTTCCTATTTTATTTTTCACAAATTTTTGCATGATGTGAAGGTTCCATGCGAGGATATAGCAAAAATAGTTGGTGAAGAACGAAAATATGATCTATTGGTGATGGGTTTGCAAGAGGCTCCTCGAAACAACATTCTCAAGTTGTTGAAGAATACTTTGGCTCATACTCACATGTATGTATAAAAAAAATTTACACTCCTATTACTACAATTTAATCGGTCATAATAGGTTCTTATTATTTTTATTTTTATTTTACTATATATATCAGACATGTTAGGAAGAGTTACTTGTTGTAGTAGGTCAGCTTAATTTGATGATAAAAAAAATGTACATTATCCGTCACAAAATTTAAACTCTTCTCTCTTGTTTCTCTTTTTTATATTTTAAATATTCCAATATTTATGGAAAACATTATTGGGACCAATCATCTTTTCATAGGGTAGGTTGCATGCTTTTGAAATGGAAGGAAATAAATTAAAAGACGATAAGCTGAAACATGAATAGCCAGACAAGAAGCACCTTATAATTGATCTTTGACAATGACGACCCAACTAATATTCACGTGTTCTCACTCCAATTTATATTTTTGATTCTAGAAAAGTCGTGTATTCTCTGACATGCCGTATCTCATGAATTAACCTTCAAATTTTCGTGGTCACATTTTAAATTTTTAGGGGAAAAAAGAAGAAATGCATTGCATCAGACCACTAACTTAATATTATTGAAAAGTACTTGTCATAATTAAGATTAATTTCCTTATTATAGTATTATGACATTTTTTCCTTCATATTTGTGAGGAAGGCTATTAGGAAAAGCTGTAATGCAATCTCTACAGCTGTATGTGTTTGGCCCCAAGAATTCAGAGCAATTTACTAGAGGTATATTTTATTTCTTTATTTTTTTCAATATACTAAATTTTATGCTAATTGAATTGAATCTTGATTCTGTTGTTACTAATATTTGATTGGTTGACTTTATATAGAAGTAAAGGTGGATAAGCATGAAATTGGAGGATTAGGATGGTTAATCAGGAGAAAGAAAGGAGCAGTGGGTGTTAGAATTAGATACAAGGGCATACAAATGGTTTTTATTTCTTGTCACCTCTCTGGTAATTCCTTCTACTCTATTCCTCCTCATTTTAAACATACTAACCCGTTCAAAATTATATTTAAGTAAATAAAAGTGTATACTATTGTATTTTCTAATGATTGAATTTTTTTTACATAATGTGATCATACAATTATTTTGCCGCTAGTTCTACCTTCTTATTTAGACTTTAGAACTTGTATAGGCTTATATTCTTTGAAGGTAGTTTGTAGCTAGGCAGGTCGAATAATTGACCGACAATAGACTAATTGCTTAGAGTAGGTTGACAAATATACTACTAGAAAAACATTTTCATTCCCAAAGAAGAATATGGAAAATCCAGCTCTTTTTTGTTTGTGGGAATTGGGAAAGGAAATTCATTACGCAAAGTTGGTATCGTAAAAATTCAAAGTTTATTGACTTCCATCAAGTTTGGGCCTGAAAAATAGTACGGTCTAGTTAGTTTTCGGACTGGTCATTCAAAAATAATCAGCGTTTGCCAAGTCATTGAAAAATAGTTACTATTTTGCTGCAACAAATACCGGTCCACCATAATATACTGGAGTTCGGTGCGCCTGTGTATGAACTTCCAGCATATTATGCTGGACCGGTATACTTTGCAGGCACCAGTATAATATACTGGAGACTGAAACACCGATGCTCCAAACTCCAGTATATTATGCTGGTTATACTGGAACTCCAGTACATTACGCTGGAGTATTTTTTCGGATTTTGAACAGTGTTTTTGTTCAGATTTATCTTTACATGAAAAGTGGCTAAATTTCGATTACTTTTGAAACTGTGGCTATTTTTGAATGACCACTTGTAAATCTAGCTATTTTTGAATTTCTCCCAAAAAGTTTATATGGCAAGTTACATATTTGGTCGGTTGATCAAAATTAATTATATTCGATAGTTAATATAAAAAAAATACACTAGTATAAAATATATTGTATATTATATATTAATTAAACAAAAAATATGTATTTTACCGGCTATTATTTACTATGTAGTTTTCCCAATAAACTTAGATGTTGCCCACGACGCATCTAGGCCCAAACTTTTTGTGTCTTTGCTTCTATTCTTTTTTATTTGTTATAATAAACATTTAACCGTGGGACAAAAGAGTTTTTACCTTTGAAGTCTCATCAAAGTAATGCAGAGTAGAATTACAACCATTAGAGTCTCCAATATTTTTTTCTTATAGGTGGTCATAATTAAATCATTAAATAAAACTGGTGAATTTCATGTAGGAATTTGGAAATAATACCCTCTTTTACTGTCTCTTGGAAAAAGGCCAAAGGTAATCATAAATTTGCTACAATTGGCTAGAAAGGAATATATTACTCAGAGCTATAAAACATCATGATGTCTATTTCCTTTTTTTTTCAGCTGTTGACATTATTTTTCTGAATGATCATTTTTTTCTTCATTTGACTCCAACTGCAGCTCATGCTCGTAATGTGGAAGAGAGGAACAATCAGTTCAAGCATATATCAAACTCTCTCTTTTCAAAGAATACGAATCCTTATTCTAGACCAGCACAGCTTACTGTATGGTTGGGAGATCTTAACTACAGATTACAAGGCATCAATTCCTATCCTGCTAGAGATCTCATTCATGGAAATCTCCACGAAGTATGTATATTTCATATATTTAAGTTATATACGCTAAAGGGCAGCCCGGTGTACTAAGCTCCCGTTATGCGTGGATTTCCGGGAAGAGCCGAACCATGAGGGTCTTTGTACGCAGTCATACCCTGCATTACTGCAAAAGGCTGTTTTCACAGCTCGAACCCGTGACCAGTGACCTCCTGGCAACAAATTTACCGGTTACGCCAGGGCTCCCCTTCTTAAGTTATATATGCTGACAGTGCAAATTTTCTTAATGTATATAACTTAACTTTTCATATGAACTTCCTTTAGATCAACTTGGGTTTTTGGAAGGAAAAAGAAGGCTATTTTAAACAATTACTAACCTTCCAAATTTTTTGAATATTTGTTTGACTAAAGCAGATGCTAACTAGCAAAGATCAGCTTTTACAAGAAGCAGAAAGAGGTGAGATATTTAATGGGTATTGCGAGGGTGCATTAGCTTTCAAACCAACTTACAAATATGATATTGGAAGCAGCAGCTATGATACCAGTCACAAGGTAATTAATTAGTCTAAATCTTATTACTTCTTCTCTCCCAATTTATTTAACCATTTGATAGTTTAAAATGTTAATTTGACTTGCGTAGTTGTGAAAAAAAGGTTAAACTACTAGTTGAAAAGTTGATTAAATAGAGAAAAATCAAATTAAAGTACTATACATTGGTTAATCAAATAAGCTTGAGAATTTGAACTTACAAAAATTGTTTAAAGCATTACTTAAGCGAGATATATTGGAAATGACACCAAGTAACCACTTTTAAGCATGCTATTTAAAATATATCCACACTTTATAATGTACTTAAATATTAGATAATTTTGCTCAAATTTCAGGACACGATGTCCTAGACTTTAAACCTCAAAATCCAAACTTCAGGACATCGTGTCCTAAAGTTCGAAAATTATGACCCGAAATTTGAATCTTATGTCCTAAATTTTAGCCTAGTAGTTCAGAAATTCAGGACACTTAGTCCTGAATTTTAAATTAGCAGCTCAAAAATTCAGGACACTAATCTTTAAACTCATTATAAATTGGGAATATATTTTAAATAGCGGGCTTAAAAGTGGCTATAGCTGCACTTCATCCTTAGATATACGTAGAAATGATTCCTCTTTGGATAATAGGTACTGTAGCTGGTATTCTTGTAATCGGTTTAATAGGTATTTTCTTTTATGATTCATATTCCGGATTGGGTTCATCCCTGTAGTAATCGAATGAATTGAGTCGTCAACATGAAAGCGTAAGTACTCAACGGGATTCCCTTCTTTGTTTGTTTGATTCGAAGGAGAAGGGCCCGTTGAGTTCTTAAGAATCATAATATTTTTTTCGTTTCAGGTAGCCACTCTAAAGGGCTGCTATTTAAGAATTAGCCAGTGCATCCTGGATTTTAATTTTTCAGTTCAAGTTTTCAGTATAAAAATGTCCTGAGTTGTCCTGAAGTTAAAATTTTTAGTTTAAAATTTCAGGACAAAAATAACTATTGGATAATCCCTAAATAACACCCTTCAAAATGGCTATATGTACACTTACCCCGGATATACTAACATATGACTAAATTGAATAATAGAAAAGTGCTGTGACCTATAAATTAGGATATAGGAAATATTTTCTTTTAATTACAAAACACTTAATTAAGGATTTGGTATCTTGATTTGACATTAATTGTTTTGTTATCTTTATCGTTAAACAGGTTAGAGTACCATCGTGGACAGACAGAATATTGTTCAAGATAGACAGTAACAAAATCAATGCAACTTTACATTCTTATGAAGCAATTGAAAGCATCCGCAGCTCTGATCATAAGCCAGTGAAAGCTCATCTATGCTTAAAATTGACAGATATTCAAACAACGGATTCACAAATCTTGTTGCAGAATCATCACACTGATTAATGCTTTATTCTTTAAACATTCTTTTATTGTTGTCCATTCATGTTTTACGACGGAGTTACGCATTCTTTTTTCCTGCGTCTTCGTGATCAACTGTAATTTTAAACCTTTGTTAGTACCGTCTTTGTCCAAGAATTTTTGTAAATTATATATGGTAACAATAAATTTGGTCTTTCTTTTCATGGCTTAATTCCTTTAAGATATACTTCGATAATGCATCTTCTTCTTTTAAAGGACAGGCTTTACTACTATATATAGTTTCTTTGGCTTATATATACCAACAGTTAATTTGAAATTTTTACAATGAGATCGTAGTAGAATATAACTTTCATATTTTGTCAGAATTGTTGTGGGGGGGACCATATAATGATTCAGTGATATGATTTGATTTTCGCAGTTATACATGAGGGGATACTTCTGGATATATAGTGCCAGAAACAAGAGAAACGTATCTCTAAACTAAAATTTGTACTCATCTGCTTCTTTGCATTGAATTTCATCCATGGACAGACTGTCCTCTCAAAAACAACACTATTAATTGGACGCATCTATCGGCAATGTACCCAATAATATTGGGAAGTATATATAACCCAATGTTAATATCTTGATAGTATATGAGAAGTGATAATTAACTTTGTTTAGTAAAATATTGTGATATTTGTGAGCAACACATATACTGGAAAATCAATGACCAGGAAAGGAGCCGATTCAGAATTTAGATGACATGAGTTTCGAGTCAAGAGAGTAACTTCTAAGAGGCATATCTAATTCTATATATATATATATATATAGTTATTGCGCGTATGTGTATAGTTCGACTGTCAAGTACTAGATTCTGCCTAATTTTAAAACTCACGGTTGGATCTGCCATAACCAGTGTAACTCGTGTCATGTAACGCAGTAACATGCCCTAAGAGATGATGCCATTTTGGTGTAAAGCCATTATTTTTATGCTTGTTTGAAAGCAACCATCCACTGAGTTGTTTAATGCTAAGTTGAGGGAAGCCGCAATTATTGTGTGAATGCTAACCAATCAAACCAAGACCAATAGTATTACTTAAGATTCATAAATTCCGACAACGACATATGTACTGATTTAGTGACATGTTACTCGCATATACCAATTAAATGATAACGCATTGCCATGCCTTTTTAAAAAAATTGAAGTATCCTAAGTTTCATAACTAATCTTCTAGAAATTGAAATACTTTAAAGCAATTTGGGAAAGTAGGTTAATTCTTTTGTTGGGAGTTGGGGGGAAGGGATTATTCCCCTTCTGATTGTGAAGTCTTTAACTTCTACTTCTTCCGGTCCAAAATAAGTGATTTTTTGATATTTTTACACATATTAAGAAATCCACCTTTTAGCATTAATTAGCAATGGAATTGACCATATTAACCTTTACTGTCTCACTTAAATACTCCTAACACATATTCCAACACTATTTACTCCAAGGACAATATAGAAAAAAAATAATTAATTCATTCTTGAAATCTGGAAAAAATCACTTATTTTGGACCACAAGAAAAAAGCCAAAAAAATCACTTATTTTGGACCGGAGAAAGTAGCTATCTAGACACAAGAATATTTTACTTGCCAAAAAAATACTGTTTTTGTAAATATATATGGCTTCTTCTTTTTTCAAAGTTTAACAAGAATTTTTTTTCTTATAGAGATGGCATAAGATATTGGTCAGTCCTCACAACATTTTTCCTTATTGACCCACATTAAAGAAAATACTACGACAAATTGTTATATACTAAAATCAAAAGGCTGCATATGATAATCTCAAATATTAAATGCTAAGAGTTGCGGATAATTTAGCTTAATATATTAATTGTCATATAGATGATTAGAGAATACAATAAGGACAAAGCGTAGCTATCTTCATCGGTATTGTTTTGTGATTCTGTTGAATAATTTGGCCAATGACAATACTCAACAATATTACTGATCAGAGTTCATACCTAGATTCATAAATAAGTATTTCAACAGCTAAAAAAAAGAGAAGAGCTACAGTATATATAAGCACATAGATATATTTGTGTATAACAAACTAGCCAACTATAGCACTCAACTCACTACATTTCCATAAATTATCCGCATGTCCTTTTTTGACATAATAACCTACGTATCAAATTCACCAAAATATTATACGATTACAATTCCCCATTTATACAATTGATATCCAAGTAATCCACCCTTATACATATAATTGCATACATTACTTTTCTTAATTCTATATCTTTAAAATTGTTGTTTAATATGCTCCAAAGTCTCTTAATTGGAACTGAGTTGTCTTCCTTGGTACATTTTCCGAGTGCCGTAGTCCCAATGTAAGTGACACATCCCCAGCCGGCTGAGACCCAAATGTGGCATTTGAATTAGCAACCAAATCAGCCGCGTCGGCCGCCGTGAAGTAGCGGTTGACGGTGGTTGAAACGTCGTGTGTGGCGGAGGATGCGGTGGCGGTATCATCTTGAAGCATTACTAGTTGGTTTCCCAAGGCGTACTGCCTATAATTTATGATGTTCTTTGAAAGGTCTCTTTCATTAGCATTAAATTCGGATCTTACTGATAATGGCATTGTTGTTGTTGTTGCCGATGTAGCCATGTTGCTAATCTTGTCGTGCATTAAAGTTTGTGCAGACACTTGATTTTCTTGCTCCTCCTCTTCTTGATCTTGATCCGTTTCCTCTTCTTTTGTTTCTTGTTGGTACATCTCTTCCACCATAGGTTTCCACAACCGAACCCTAGCATTTATAAACCAATTTGATACCTGAAAATCGTAACAATTAGAATTTAAGTTCTATGCATTGACATTATAAATTTTTAAGAATTCAATGATAAGCCCATAAAATTTATAATTGATACGATGATATAATAAGATGTTAATTACACTGACAGGGTAAAACCTGTGAATGTATATTAACAATGACAGTGACCATATTAAGAATTCACTTTTAGCATTAATTAACAATTGAAAATATAACAAATACTCACAAGTTCTTTACTCCAAAAGCAACTTATGAAAAAAAATTATTCTTAATATCTAAAAAATCAAATATTATGAACCATAAATAAAATAAAAAATTAATTAAAACGGAGGGAGTAACTTTTATCACAAAGTTGAGGGGATCTAATTAATAGAGTGGATGAAGTCATAAATGCTAACTACTGCACTTAATTTGTTGAGGACACATTAATTACATGAGACCAAATTAATGCAAGAGTGACAGTATTTAAAAATCAACCGTGCGAATGTCCTATGCTAAATGAAGGGTACTGAAAATCAGACAAAAGTGTTGGATCTATCGCTCTGCCAGATACTTGCAGTAAATCAGAGGAAATGTGGCATCTATTTGTCAAATAGCTGCCTTTTACCTTTCCATTCTCAAATAGGATTACTGTACTAGCTACAGTAGTTAACAGCGAAATTAATAATCACATCCTTACGCTTAATTACACACAGCTTCAATTAACACCAGTTAAGTCCTTTGATAATGGTGCATTTAATATGACCTGAAATGTTTTCTTTATAAACCTATTAAGCTTGTAGTATTTTATTGCTTTAAATAGACAAATATCTTACAATTAATTGTGAATAGAATTATAAATCTACTATAAGTAGGTCACTGATGCAGCTACTAGGAGCACCACCTATCGTAGCTATAGGGAACAACATGGGGTGATCAGTGTATTAGCTAAAAGAAGGTGCTTAGAAGAAGCTCTTTGACAGACTAAGCTACTAGGGACAGGGGCGGAGCTGAAGCTCGACTACGAGTTCAACCAAACCCAATAATTTTTACTTAAACATTATATTTATATTAACAAATTCATTAAAGATGTACAGATATTATGTTTTGAATTCAGCTATTAGCACTTAAAGTCGTGTCGTTTTAAAATCCTAAATTCATAAAATTAAAATATTAGCTCCACCTCCAACGAGGGAGGGGCACCACCAAGAATTCATGTATGATGCAACCACGGCAACACGACCCATTAAAATTCTACAATTGGGGTTTGGGGTGGGTAGCGAGTAGGCAGACCTTACCCCTACCCCGATAGAGCAGAAAGACTATTTCTGATAGACCCACGGCTCAGGAAGGCAGAAAGAAAACGAGAAGAGACAATATATCAGTATCGTCAATAGAAACTATAAATCTAGTAGCAACATCATAAAAATCATAAAATAGATGACATGCAATAACAATAACCAGTAATTAAAGCCCGGAGCTATGAAAAACAGAAGGATAGTATGGACACAACCTTAACCACTGTCCTTCTGAGATCATCCCTATCAAACTAGCCGCACCCCGGTACGAAGTAGAAAAAAGCTCGACTACCTCCTAGCTTACAACCCTAATGCTCGACCCCCACACCTTCCTATTAACGGTCATGTCCTCAGAAATCTGTAGCCATGCCATGACCTGCCTGATCACCTCTCCCCAATACTTCTTAGGCCGCCCTTTACCTCTTCTCGTATCCACCAAAGCCAACCGCTCACACCTCCTCACTGGAGCATCAGGGCTTCTCCTCTGTACGTGCCCGAACCATCTGAGCCTCGCTTCCCGCATCTTGTCATCCACATGGGTCACGCCCACCTTCTCCCGAATATCTTCATTCCTAATCTTATCCATCCTAGTGTGCCCGCACATCCACCTCAACATCCTCGTCTCTGCTTCCTTCATCTTCTGGATATAAGTGTTCTTAACCGGCCAACACTCTGCCCCATACAACATGGCCAATCTAACTACCACTCTATAAAACTTACCACAAAATATATTATATACTACTCCATCCGTTCCAATTTATGTGAACATGTTTGACTGCGCACGAAGTTTAAGAAAAAATAAAGATTTTTGGAATTTGTGGCCCTAAACATGTCAGAAACGAGTCCAGAGTATTTGTGTGGTTATAAAAGCTTATCACTAATGATAGACTTAGAAGTTTAAGCTAAATTATTTTCAAATTTAAAAATGGATGATTCTTTTTGAAACGGACCAAAAAGGAAATAGATTCACATAAACCGGAACGGAGGGAGTACAAGTTTTCCTTAAAGAATTGTCCTAATAATTTAAACACGTGGCTTATAAGACTCACTAGATAAGTTTAAATGCAGGATATTGTCCTCATCCCTCTATATTAGGAAGTTTAGAATACAAGAACGGCAAGCATTCCGCTTCTAAAACAAGATTAAAGTGTCCTCTCGCATCAGAAGGCCTAGAATACCCGTCAATGAAGAGTGTCATTAACAAATTAAGGGAGTCCTTTTCTTTTTTTTCACGGCTAAGTTTGCTCATGAATAATCCACGTGTGGCTGCTAATATGATCATCTCCAAAAAATTTGCCTTAATGTGTGGTAGATCAACTATAAGAAGGATATATGTGTGGGGAGAAGACCCTCACTAAGTTACTGATAAATAATAATCTGATATTTTTATATGTCTATAGTGATTAAAATGTAATTGTGAGTATTAATGTTGAATATAGCTCTTAAAATTGCTGAATTAGAGTGTGAAAATGTCATTTCGTATAGTATAATGTATTGAGTTCAAATGGAGAGCCAGCGGAGGATGTTTTGTTGTTTTAAATTTCCCTCCCTCTTTTGTTTTTGAATATTATGTACAAGATGTCAAGACATAAACGGATAAAAAATCAACCAGGAAAATTCTATCGTGTAATATGAAGCATAATTAGTAGTAGTAATATTATCTTGTGAAACAAAAAAAAAGGTACATTTGAGTTAAGAGTGTTAATTAGGAGCATTATTGGAAGGCAGTAAAATTCATTTTGAAGTACTTAAGGTGATCTATATGTTGGATTGACACTCAAAGCTTTGATGTTTTATTTGAAGTAAATTTTAAATAACACAAGAACTTAACTATATAACTATTGAACCAAACACTTGAGAAACTCTATTTGTATGAAAAATACCTTTCTTGTCCTGAATGTGCCATTGGATAAGTACCTTTAGAAAACCACAAAGTACTCAAGCACTGAGCCTTAATGTTGCTATAATTTTACAGCTATCTCAGATATTACTCCAGATGATGACATATGTAAATAGTATTACCAATAATATACACAATCTTAAACCTGGTGGTATTGAATTTTCCACAGGTTGCTGCTATCATATGATCATATTATGCGTTCACATTCAACCGTAGTTTTGGACTAAGTTAGAAAGTATAGTATATTTTTCCTACCCGAATTATTTTTCATTAACAAATATTTAGTGTCACATCAAACATGCACGTCCTAACTACCTATTCAATAATGTTTTATAAGGGCTAGGCTTTTTATGTAATTTATATTCGTTGTTTATAGCTATATTGCTGGTAAAGAAGTCAGTAATTAACAGCTTCAGATTAGTTTTATACACATCATATATAACGTGAGAATTATCTTATTATTCAATCAAATGTTAAAACTAGTCACTACTGTCAGAACTAGACGTGGAAAAGTTGCAAATGCCTGCTGCTGTAAAAGATAACGTAACATGAAAGCCTATATACCAAGTTAATTTCACGTAGAGCTACTGAAACTTACCCACCATAACAGTAAATTATCAAAAGTTTAGGACATTAAAGTAGCATATGTAACTTTACCCACTATACTTACATTTTTGTTTTCCAACATTAATTTTATTTACATTCCTATCTTGATGGATTAAGGCACTCGAAAATAAGTTTTTCTTTATAGAAGAAAATAAATAAGTAGTTATCAAACTAATTAGAAAGCAAAATGAATATTCATAGGCTCGATTAAAAAAAAACAAAAACAAAAAAGAAGAGCTTTTGATGGTTTCCCTTTTAACGATAATTATAAGAAAAGAAAACGTAATTATGTGGCATCACCTCTGATCAAAGGTATCCTACGGTCTGTCATCCTACTCCCCTACAAAATCTTCTTAAAATAGTAGCAGGAAGAATGCACTGAAAAACTGGTTTGAAAAGGTCAAATAGTAGTAGTAGTAGTACTAAAATAGAAAAATGTATCTTCTACTTAAGGTGCAACCTCACCAAATTCATTTCTTTTACTTTTTTCTATCATCTACCTTTTCCAGCCCCAAGGATAAAAAATCTCGAAGGAAGAAAACACTAGGTTTAAGAAAGAGTTTAATTTAAAGCAGATCAGGATCCACGATTTAAATTCAATTAGTTCAACTTTGCATAATTTTTTTTTTATAATAGTAGAGTTATGAGTTCAAATCTAATATTCGTTAAAATTTTAATATATATATATATATATATATATAGAGGACAACTTGAAGGTGTATATATACACACACTTCATATCGAAAGTTTTGATATCAGATGAACTCATAACTAATTGACTACATTCGCATCTAACTTAAATTGTAAAAACAATTTACACTATCAGATATTTTATAGGACAACTTGAAGTAACTATTCATACTAAGTGAAAAAATTATACTAGTATTCCTTATAAGTAAAAAAAAAAAAAAAGATAAAGGATAGAGGACATGCGCCAAGGGAAAAGGTAGCGCAGATAAATGACTACAACAACAAAGATGAGTTATCCTTTTCAAGAGATATGACAGCATCTGATATATAGTAGTAATAGAGAAAAAGATGTAATGAGTACCTGATTTTTGGATAAACCAGTCTGCCTAGACAACAAATGCTTGTCTGCTTCACTTGGATACCTGAATACACAAAGGTGTAAAAAGCAAAGGCTTATAATGACATCACTTTCCTCCCATTTCATAATCCGACAACAATCCTCAATACAATTCTTGCATGGCAAAAGTTCATATCTTCTGCTGCTCTGTCTGCACTAATCCATATATAAGATTCCAATGCATCTCTTCCTACAAATTCCATATTCACTGATTCACCCACCAACCATGTCTAAATTTATGTTTTCTCGAATTCTTCAAATATAATATTTTTGAAGGATTCAATATAGGCAGTGACGGAATCACATTCAACCAAGGGGCCCCTTCGCCGAAAAGTAACACTATATTGCTAAATAAATTTTTATGTTTTATGAATATTTACTATATGTTCACTTCCCTTAACTCTTCGGTATATCTACCTTTTTATATTTTGATACCTCTTGGTGAAAATTCTGGTTCCACTACTTAATATAAGTACGACAATATTCTAGAGAGTCCGAGCAACATCGATCTCAATGACATCCAATTTGCAAACGTTTTCTTCTTAATTAAATGATCTATCTATTGTATGATGTAGATTATTGTTATAGATATATAAGAGCTGGCAAGAGGTTCTAGATTCAAATATTACCGTTACTAAGAAGTTTAAAATATTTTCACATGTTATCCATGAAAAATAATTAGATATACTTGAGAGGCGTGTTCAAATATAATATATTCAATTATTAAAAATGTACTCTCTCAGGCTACTTAAATATGTAGATGATGTGATCTCATTTAATCATGAATATTAGCACATAGTTATAGAAGTGATAAAGAATTGTTTTATATATATATATATGGTTGAAATTTTATACCGAAATGATAGGGGCAAAATTAATAATTTTTAACTCATTTATACCTAAATGATATGAAATCACTTTAGAGAAGTACTATCTAAAAGACATGTTTCTCCATGAAATGATCTCTAAAGAGCACTGTTAGTAATGTAACTGATCATTTTCTACTTGCCATTTGCTATTTTTTTTCTTCCTTTGGAGATGTTTTTTGTTATTCTTCCTTTTGGATTTGTCATTTGTGCTACAATAATGTGCATAATAAAGAACAATAATAATTGAATCAAAGAAAGAAAACTTTTCAAAGATTAATAATAATTGAATCAAAGAAAGAAAACTTTATTGTTGGACAGAGAAACTCTTTTAGCAAGCATATTTTGACTAAACTATATTAAGAAAATATGGAACCACCTCATAAAACTCTTTAATAAATTACCTAAAAGAATAAGTGTTGAAAATTAAGGACAATTGGATCTCTTTTCTTATTGTATGGAGTAGTTCTAAAATAGAGGACTGTGAAAATTAGTAATTACTTATACAAGTGCTTGACAAAAAGTGTGTTATGATTATGCATAAATTTGAGGCATAGGCAAAGTCAGTCCTCCCCTTAGAAGGAAATATGAAATCTTCCCTTTCTCTCCTGACAAAATAAAAGATACGCATTTGGTAATTGAGGGGCCGGAGACTATCTGATTTTTCCTCAACAACCCAAAATGAAGGAAGAAATGGGAATATATATGCACATAAAAGGCCTAGAGATGTGTCATGTGTGATGAAAGATTTAACTTATATACGGTAACAATATAATATAAATATTGTTTATATTATAAGTGTTTTATCTTCTTGTAGGAAGTTAGCTACTTTATTTTCCGATTTACTAATCCCAATTACTATGGAAAGTATATATTATTATTATTATTATCTTTTAAGAGACTTGACCATGTAAAGGTTCAGAATAATAAGGGCAGTGCAAAAAGAATTTTGCGTTCACGCGGTATTTAGGGAAGGGTCGCACCTCAAAATGGTGTGAGGTAGGCAGTCAGAAGCAGATGTAGTGTTCTACCGACGAGTTCGATTGATCTCATAACTTTCGACACAGTAAGAATTTGTATATAAATATTCATTAAAATTAAAAAAATACGTAGTAGATATGAATCTATAACTAGAAAAATATAATGAGTTCAATGCTAAAAACTTAAAAGTTGAACTCATAGAGTTTAAATCATGGATCCGCCCCTGTAGGCAGCCTACTCTTATACAAGAATAGTGGCTAATTTTATGGCTTGAATCGGTATCCTATAGGTGAGACCGAGATAATTTGACTATTGCTCCAAGACTACCTTCCTAAAGGTTCAGAATACTAAATATGAAATTTTTTGTGAACCTTTAAGCAGTGTGCATGTGATACGTAGCAGAGTATACTGTCTGCGCCGCAGGCACCAAATAGAAAGCAGAAAGAAAGATAAAGAGAGTGAGAGTGGAGAACGTACGGATGAAGAAAATGCTCAAAAAGCCATGCCCTTAAAACATTAACAGATCGTTCAGGCAACCCTCTTTGCGGCCTCCAAGCATCAGAATCCAACATTCCCATTTGGTGAAGTGCCTTTTGCTGCCTCAACTTTTGGTCAAGCATTTTCAACCTCGGCGTCTCTCCTTTAGTCAAACCACCACTTCCCGTCACATCTTTCTCCCCAAGATACTTACATGTCTGCTTCAGCTGAGCTACAATGGCATCTTTTATACACCTAAAATGCCGCGACATCGCCTTCTGTGCTAACGCCGTGTACGGCGCTGCTGCCCCATATCCGATCATTGAATCAAATGAGTTCACCATCGCCTGCATTTGCTCACAGTAACGCGTGTATCTTGCATCTACCTGTTAAGAATAATATTAGTACACCCAAAAAAATGTTTTTTAATTATATCAAACACATGGTGTGCAATTGTGCATAGATCTGAAAAAAGCCTAAATGATGGAATATGCGTAGCACGAAGCATCGTTGTGTTGCACTTTTCCAGCAAAAGATCAAAGCCGCGGCTTCACATTTGTTATAAAATTAATTTACTGACATCTTCTTAGTACTACAGGGAATTTAATGAACGTGGGGAGCAATTGATATTGTGTGGCTTGTTGTCGGATAGTGGATTATTTAAACAGATTTTTCAAGATTTTAGCAGTGTACTATTTCCTAAAATGACACTTTAACAAAGGTTAAGCATAATAGGAAACCATCATTGTAACAAAATTAAACACTGTTGGCCTCAATAATTCACGATTATATATATAAAAAAAGACCTCAATCTGGAAGAAAGAATCAAGAAATGGTCCCAAATGTAGCAGTTGATAAATCATTAGCTTCTTTTAATAACAAAATTTTTATTAAAGATTTTTCCTAATAGCTTCCTAAATACTAAACTACAACCTATAATGGGGGCATGTCGTTCGTTGCTCGACATGTACCCTTCCCTTATGGTAAATCGTGTTAAGTGACACGTAAAAAGTGCAACAATAATAATTAAAACGTAATTAGAGGTAAGGTGTAGTACAAATCCTATATTAATCTAATGTCATTAGGTAATCAGCTTTTGTCTATTTTTGAAAATGGACCCTTTAACAAGCTAGTTTTTGACGTTTTACTAACAAGAAAAAGAGAAAGGGATAAATTATAAAGAAGTTACATGCCTCATCTAGCATAGATAACAGCTTGATTTTTCTCCTTTGATATTCAGATCTTTCAGCAGCCGACAATGGAGGATGATCTTTTAAGGAACCACGATCTTCACTCTCTGTGTTGGAATTAGGGTTTTCATCTTCATATTTTTTGACCCTTTGGTTCTTGAAATTTCCCCTCCCAACACAGCAAAATTCTTCTAGTAATTCTTGAGCAGCTTTTACATATCGGGAATTTCTGAGAACATTTGTCATTCTAGGAGATGCTGCTGCATATCCAACATGAACTTGATGATTACTGTGTGGAGCAGTACGATGATCCATAATTACTCCTGAATGTAACAGTTGATGGTGGTTGTTGTTGTTATTAATCGCTCCGAATAATCCTTGATTATTGTTCAAGTAAATTCCTCCATTTCCAATCCTTAAATCCTCCAGTTTTGCAGCTGCTTCAAAATTCCTAGAAAGTGACAAAGATAGACCTTGACCATCTACTACCCTCCCAATTCTTGTAGAATTGTCTTCTCCACTACTACTTCCTGTCGAAAACATAATTATGGTATCAGAGCTGGCAGAAGTCTGAGTTAGAGTTTCACCATCACCCTTTATTAAAAAGAATTCTGAATCATGTGAGAGGCGTGTTGAATACCTGGAACCCATGTGAACTGAGATGGAGGTTCCACAGCTGTGGAATTAAGCAAGTGAAATCCTTGATGATGAAGAAGACTGTTAGTGTCTGCTGAGTTGGGAAGTAACATGTGAAGTGAAGACGATGAGCGAGGTGGAGATGACGCTTTAATATGAGAATTCATGAGTGGTAGCTGCATGAAAATTTCCGGTGTTTCAATTAGCCATAAAAGAGAAGAAAAAAACCTTCTACGGTAGTAAATAGAGTTGAAGTAATCCAGTGAGAGTCAAGGTCAAGGTTGATTGATAAGAATCCCATTAAAAATAATTGATCTAATTGCGCTTTCAGTCTCCAAATTTTTGACGATTACTGCTCCAATATTTGATGAGTACATAGTCTTATCTAATTAATGATTACCAGTTAATTACCTCAACTTCGTTTATTGATGGTGGAAGCAGCTGCTGCTGCTCCTTTTGTGGCCATTGCCGATAATTACTTGATTGGATCTGATCATCCAAAATGTCCGTGGCGGCTTTCCGCCACGCAGACGGGTAACTGATAATCTCCGTCAACATACCTCCGCCGTCATAAACCGCACCTGACGGCTCTTCTACTTGCTGTGGCGGTGGCGGAAGTGGCTCAAAGCCTTGTATTCTTAACATGTCCTCATGCTTCGTCGCAGATCTCTCATATACACTAGAGAAATTGTAAAATCCTTGTTGAAAACTTTGGGACATCGAATTTTCCTTTTGAGGAATTAAGTTCTCAAGGAAGGTATACTAAGCTTGTAACTTTTGCCTATGTATTAAAAGAATTATTTGAGTCCGTTCATATGGTTTTATCTCATCTATATATCAATAGATGAGCTTGTTTGAGAGTTGAGACCAGACCATTTCTTGTCTTGAAGCTGCTCAAGTTAAAAAAAGAAAAAGAAAAAGAGAGAATATTGTAAGATTTATCAGTACAAAAAAAGGTCAAAAAATAGAATGAAAATGAACCAAAAAACAAGCATAAACCGCTCAACAAATAACATATATGAGGAGTTGAAGGTATGTGAAAAAAATCCATTTGATTTGGTTGATAATAGATAAATTGAAGTAGAATAAATACCAGTAAAAGATACAAGGATGAGTAGACTTCAGCCTTGAATAGAATTCAAGAATTTTTTTTTCTATGTGCAAATCTTGTAAGGGTTTGATCTTTGTTGTTGGATATAGGAAACTCCTTTAATGGAAACTGAGTATTATTTCTCAATCAAATAAGAAACAAAGACAGAAGAAGAGAATGGGTCGCCTTCTCTCTTTCTCTTCACTATCACCTCCCTTCGCTTTCACCTAAACTTTTTTATATCTAAGATATATAATATAGTATAATATAATTACCAACTTATCATTTGTATATGTGCTTTTAAAGTATAAAAAATGTAAAAGAAACAAGTGGTAGTGAAAGTCACTGCTAATAAAGGTTGAAATTTTGTTATCCTATGAAAAGCACTACTTCCATAGTTCAAGGCTTTGTTATACCACTTCTTTTAATTGTTTTTACTAATATATATATCTTTCCTTTTTTTTTCTATAATTAATGGGAAGTCTCCTTTATAAGGCACGCACACAAGGTAAGCATACATTAGTTTATTTTTATATGGTTTTTAACCTTACAAAAAGGGTTTAGTGATATAAACACCACTTTTGGTGACACAAGTTAAGCGTATCTTTATTTGTTTATTGTTTCCCTTTCTGAAAATTTAAATGGTTCTTCATTTTTTAAATCCTTCTTTCGTACACCATTGAGAGGTTGGTTCTTAATAATGATATGAAATTACAATTAATGATCTATGCGTTTAATTGAACTAATATCTACTACTTAATTGGGCAATATGCATTCCTCGTTAGAAATTCAATTTTTCTGGTGCGTCAACATGTTCTTTGTTTAATTTTCCTTAAAAACATTGTTAGGGCAGAGGAAAGGGTGGTAGGATATGAATATAGGGAGAAGAGAAGGGAAAGATTCATGGACTCAAATTTTACACCTCTAATATGCAAAAATAAATAATTCGAGTTACTATTGCATCCCTCTATAGTTAAGTGAAGAAATGATCTTCTATGACTAGTTACAATTTGATTATATAGAAGAAAATGTCTTTACAAAGATAGCCTGTATGTTTTATTCACTGATCTTGTGCGTTATACTTTACCGATCTCATGTGAAAAGGGTCATATAACTAAAGGAACATTAGTAATGGACCATAAAAATTGATCTTCCTGCTCTAAATTCCTATGCGGATTTCATTCTAAAACACTTTTAGTTTTTGTTCCTTTCCCATTTGTAAGGAGAAAAAGTGAAATTTCATTTTAGTTACATAAAACTGTCATTTTCAGAAATCAAATTCAAGCAAGTATATATAACTATATAATTAAGCAGGCAGCAAGCAAGCATAAAATGCAAACAATAGTGTAATTCTCCTTTACTCAGAGTGTAGGCTCTTTAGTGAAAAAGAATTTCGGCTTCCTTTTTTTTTAAAGGAAAAAGGAAAATAAACCACTATCCTAACTCCTAACATTATTATTCCAAGTAAGCAAGCTAGTTAATGTCATCAACAAGTCAATCATAGCCTGTTTACTACATTCTTAAAAGGCAAATTAAAGCACTTTCAAAAACCAGTAGTGAGCATAAAAGGGTGTGCACAAACACTAGTTGTCAAAGAGAGTAACAGCCACGTAACAGTAGTACAAGTGATATGTCGTGGTAGAGCGGTAGGTATTCTTTCATCTTTTATCAAAAGTCTCTTATTCGAGCCGTAAATATGAAGTCGTATTTATTATGTAACGCTTTATCCTCCAATGTGGAGTTTCTCGTTGCGAATCCCGACATAATAAGACTCCAATACGAATACCAGACATTAAGCGAACATCAAAATAAAAGGAGTGATAGTAGTAGTAATTTTCATACGAAAGGGACCACTCTTTTGGTGTCGGAGAATGCCATGAGGTGTTCTTTCCGACTGATCAGATGAAGCTACAACTGTTGCCTCTCTCTGATCTAAATTATTATGAGCCTCTTTGTGGGGGACTACTTTTATTTCTTAATTTTTTTATTTCTTGAAAAAAGTTGTGTAGATGGTGACATCCACCATCATCTTATCGTGCCCCAAGTTTTAGAATTTAATTTGATAGGAAGTAGTTCTATGTTTGTCTTAACATATACTACTGTAATAATTTTCATAGGGTTAGCCGATCATTACAGCTTGTTTGGATGGTTGTTACGCATTGTATCGTATCGTATTGTTACTTTAAATACAATGTTTGTTTTGATTGTTACTTAAATTTTATTATATCGTATCGTTAAATTCGTCGTTACATAACGACGAAATGTGCCACTTTATGTGACGACCGATTTGGTATGGTTGCGCCGTTACCTTGTCTTTTTCTCTCAATCTCACCCTTTATTATTATTAAATTATTTTATTTTATCATTTACCATATCTTTTTATATAGTAATTTTACTTTGCACCATAATTTTACTTTATAATATTGCAAGTTTATTCTTCATAATACTGGTACGTGATATCATAAAACGATGGCAAACGACACAATCTATCCAAACATTGTATTTATTAAACGATACAATACGATACGATACATTATGAAACAATGCGTAACAACCATCCAAACAAGCTGTTAGGGAAAAAAAGTACTACTACTTTTTTTAACCAACGAAAATATCATGAAATTCGTGGATTATTATCTCACCACACGTGATATCGGCCAATGGAAAAAGAAATTTTATAAAAGCCTTAAAAAATTGTCACTCGTCAAGGAAAAGAAAAAAAGAAGACTTAGGTCACTCAATGAATCTGTCAAACGTTACTTTCTCTGGTCGAAATTAGTATTAAACCCTAATATATGCAACTTCACTCTATCTATCCCACCTAATGCTCTCATCTCCTTTATTTTCTTATTAATCTGATAGTATTTCTGATCCGACGCATTTAAAGATTTTAGTAATTTGTTTCCCTTAATTTGGAGAGCAAATTCAAAATTTAAATTTGACGATTTCGACTTTCAAGAGTTTTAGAACTGAATATATTTTGCTTTTGAAAATTATGAGTTTAGATTTAATATTTTTTAAAAAATTTATTAATTTATAATTCGTAAGATTCAATATAGTTGAACCCGATGTTGAATGGTTTGATCCGCCCTGATCTTTAGCCATGGTCTCCTGAGACAGCCACACATAATAGTGATCAAAATATACTCCATATTATAAACGTTTACTAACTTTTGGAGCAACAATTCATTCATTAAATGAATTTATTTATTTTAGTGAAACACTATATACATGTTTTAAGAAATGTGATTTGGTTTAAATCATATGTGAATTTATAGATTTCCCTTTCAAAGAAGCTGCAGTTGGTTCATTTTCTGATTAAGTCCCAGGATTCATTTTTCCCTATGTAAACATCCTTTTACGCACATATTGCCAAAAAGACAACAAATATAAACAAAGAAACCCACTGTTGGGATTAAGCAGTTGAAATTTTCTGTGTCCTTAACACACTCGAGTCAGCACATAATTAAAAAAATATCCAATACAAGGCAAAATCTAGGCATTTTATAATTGAACAACTTGTCTCAGTAACCATTGGTTTGGCAACCACGAGAGAGTTGGTAAAGGGGGTCCATTTGGATTTTCATTTCTCTACTTCGTGTAATTATATGATTGGATTCTTTTATTGCATTCTTTTAATGACAATTTAACTCACAACAACATTCTCATGTCATGTCTTATATTTTATGTTTAAAATAATTGAAATTCAATACTTTAAAAAGCATACCAGCTTGTCATGAGAGTTCGATTTCATCAGTCTAGGAATAATTATTTACGAATAACCAGTTACTCGTGTTTTAGAACTAGTAAGTTAGGTAACGAAATGAGCAATAATGCAAAGATTTTATTTGATAAATCAAGGAAAAAACTATGTTAAAATGTAACATTAAAATGATTTCAATTCAAGGCAAGATTGAATTCTTATAAATATTGCAACTGTTGAAAATATTATTAAATAATAATAATAATAATAATAATAATAATAATAATAATAATAATAATAATAATAATAATAACAATTTAAATGTTTAGATGAGATAACAGTTAATGAATGGGAGTTTTGGGCAACGATAGAGTTGCCTCGTGTGACCTATAGGTCACAAGTTCGAGTCGCCGAAACAACCACTAATGTTTGCATTAGGGTAGACTATCTACATTACACCACTTGAGGTGTGGTTCTTCCCGGACCCTACGTGAATATGAGATACTTAAGCTCCACCCTACTCACTCTTTGCCCTAGATGAAATAAAAGTTAATATGGTGTTTGATGTTTTATACCTCAATACCACACAAGAGGGAGGGTGATTTGTGTGGTGTCCAATATTTCGCGTGCACAGATTATAGAAGGACTTGGTTCTTCTATGTGTTCCTTGTACTATTGTTGCGGAATAATAAATGCAGAGAGTAAAGAACACAAGGATTTTTATGTGGAAAATACCTGGCTCAAAAAGTGAAAAAACCACGACCTACTACCCAGTAGAATTTTCTCCAAATACTTCACCACAACTCTGAGCCAACAACAAAGTTTACAAACTCTTGCAAACCTAAGGATTGACTCTAACCCTTGTAGCAACTAGCCATAAGTTGTTACGACTTCTTCAAGTTAACTCTAACTTGAATAATACAACTCGAGTTTACAACCTCTTGCAAACTTAAGGATTAACTTTAACCCTTATAGCAACACGTCATATGCTGTTGCGACTACTTCAAGTTAACTCTAACTTGAAAGATACAACTCAAATACCTAGTACAATTTGCTTCTTAGAAAGCTGAAAGGTACAACTCAAAACGCCTACTATATTTTGAACTAGAAATAAAGAAAGACTCATGAAACTCTTTATGGAGCTGGTTCTTCAATCTGGTTCGTGTAACTTCAGGATCACACTCTTAAATCTCGCCGGAACTGCTCACAAAATGCCTTGCTATTTTGCTCAGTTCGTGCTTAACTTCAGTATGTGTGCATCACCTCTAAAAGAGAACATAACTGATATATATAGAGTTAGTAAATAAAGATTAACTAGAGTTCTAATGCTTTGCTCTTCCTTAGTGGAAGAATTCTAATCAACTTCAACTTCTAACTCTTCCATTATCTTGGATAGAGTTCTCTTAAAGTAAGGAGTCCTGCTCCTTATCAAATATGCAACCTTTTCGTTCAGGGAATATTAGATATAACCACTTATACTTATCCCTTTCACGTGCAA